GGGGGGGGCTCGATCAATACCCACAGAAGTAATGGGGAGACTGTACCTGAGAGCGCTACAAGGGTTAGAACAGAGAGCCTTGAGTACAGGTTAGAGCCATGACCAGGGGGCCTGGGCAGGGATGTAACAACAGGGAGAGGGCTTCTGGAGGAATGAGGCTGGGCTGGAGCAGATTAGATGCTGATGATCAGTGTTCATGAAACCGTGGAGTAGATACTTCTGAAGACCCTCTACTCCATAAAAGCAATCAAAATAATGGGAAAAATGGTCATAACAAACTTTTCAGAACTCCAGAAATTAACCAAAGCCTTGTAACAATCAGGGCAATGTTCCTTCAAGGAAATTGGCTGAATCTTGGTAAGCATAGCAAGCTTTGTGGTGTTTTAACTTGCACTATTTCCATTTCTCCTCTCCAGCTCATAGTAGCCTTGAAAATCAACAGACTATGATCACAGGGAAAACCAACAGCCTGGCAGTTATCAGAGGGGGCAGGATGGGTTAGAGCTTCTTCAAAGACCCATCCAGGGAACTGTCATTATTTGACCAGAAGGGTGGTTCCCAGAAAGGCCCCACATGGAGCTGCCCAGTGCAAACAGCCTTTTCTTCAGTGGCATTTATTGAAAACAATCAGAAACAATTAGCACTATGGCTGCTAGAGGCAGTAGATAGTAATTGGCAAACAATATTTTGGATAATGATAAAGCTTAAAAGGAAAACCTAGGGAATGAGATGTTTCTCTGAGGCCCTGAAAAACTTAGAAATATCCCTGGGAATCTAGAGGGACACACATCTATAGGGCTGTTTTCATGCACAAGGCTGTGATCATGCTCAAGAAAGACCTAAAACAGCCCTAAGCCATGCAAGTAGGATTTGAAGGTAAAGGCAGGGTTTTTAACTGCCCAGCTGAACATTGAAACCAGCCCTAACTGCACAGAGAGCCCCTTGGTAGACGGAGAGACTTACAGGTTTCAAGTATTTAAAGAAATCTTCATCCACTTATTAGCTGACCATTAAGCTAACAGAGCATAGATGTCAGTGGCCACACACAACAAAAAATACAGACTTTATAGAACTAGTTCAGAAAAGTTACTAAACAACCAACCACAACAAACAGCACCAACCACAACAAGTCCTAGAGAGAGGGGAGTCTGATTTCCAGAATCGCTACATCATATTTAAAATGTTTGATATTTCATAAAAACTATAAGGCATGCAAAGTGAAAGAGAGTATGGACCATACAAAGGGGCTGGAGGGGGGAGCAGTCAATAAAACTACACCTGAGGAAGCCCAAACTTACTAGACAAAGACTTTACATTAGCTACTGCAAATATGTTTCAAGAACTAAATAAAACCATGTGTAAAGAATTAAAAGGTCATATGATAATTGCACCTCACCAATAGAGAATATCAATAAAGAGATAACAACTGTAGAAAGGAGGCAAATAGAAATTGTGAAGTTGAAAAGTACAGTAACTGAAATGAAAAAATTCAGTAGAGGAAATTAATAACAGGTTCGAGCAGGCTGAAGAGAGAATCAGCAAACTTGAAAGATAAATAATTGAAAATATCAAATCTGAGGGGGAAAAAGGGAAATTAATGAAGAGAAATAAACAGAGCCTAGAGACCTGTGTAACGCCATCAGCATGCCAACAGACACATAAGAAACTCCAAACGGAAAGGAGAGGGCAAGGGGCAGGAAGAGCATTTGGAGCAATAATGTTCAGAGATATCCCAAATTTGATGCAAGGCATTAATTTATGCATCCAAGACACACTCAGGAAACTCCAAGAAGGGTAAACTCAAAGCGATCCACACTCAGATACAACATAAACTGTCAAAAGATAAAGCCATGAGAATCCAAGCTGGTGATGGAGTAGGTGGGACTTACACTCACCTCCTCCCAGGACCAAATTAGAATTACAATTAAATTATAAAAGAATCAACCTTAATAACCAGCTAAAGACTAGCTGAACAGAAATCTTGTGACTAAAGATACACAAAAGAAGCTACATCAAGACTGGTAGACAGGGCAGAGCCTTTCTCTAAGCTGACAGCCCCTAGAGGGGACCCAAACTTCACCGCTCTCAGGAACACAGGTCCTGCTGGAAGCCAGCAACATCTGCCTCTAACTACGGGTGACACCTAACAGGAAACAAAGAATTAGCAGGGGGGTCCAAGCATGCTCAGCCGTTTGTGGATATCGCTCACATGGAAGGTGCTGGCTCAGGGCACCCAGGTTGCTACACATGAGCAGCAGAAAATGTGGGGCAATGCTTGGATGTCCCAGTTCACCTGAGAGGTGGCGCCTGTTTCTGCTGAGCAGAGCCCAAGATCTGCCCTCATTCTTAGTGATTTCAATCTCTCACCTCTCAGTTCCTTAAGCTTCACTCTCCAATGACTTTTACCTCCATTCCACCTAAAGTCATGCACTCCTATAGACACCTTAACCCATCTGTAACTGCTCTACCTTCAAAATCACTCAAACAGCCCAGTGTGGAAGCCACATCGTCACCTTGCTGGTTGCTTACTTCCTAAAGGTATTCTTCCCTCAGTACATACAGCCCCCTGTTAGTGTCACCTGTAGTTTGAGGCAGATGTTGCTGGTTTCAGCAGGAGCTGTGTGACTGACTGAGAGCGGTGAAGTCTAGGTCCCATTTGGAGGCTGTCAGCTTTGAGAAAGTCTCCGTGGCTGAGTCTGGAACATCTGTCCTCCTATCTGGGGACAGAGAGGGAGCTTGCACATGGACAAATGTTCCTCAAGGCCTTCACACCTGCCCCATAGGTGCAATGGTGCAATGTTCTTCCCTGCTGCATGCTCTGGACTGCGCAGAGTGCCCCAATCAGGAAAGCTCACGTTCCTGGGGACTGAGCTGCCCTCAGAGGCAGATTCTGGTCTTTCCTTTCCAGGAATGATTTAGAAAGCGCCCCAGATCCACAGTAATTTCTAAGTACTTGAGTGAAGTGAGATCTGCTCAGCGAGGCTGGATATCCCCCCCCAGTTCTGAGGCCTGAAGCTTGGGGGCTGGGACGGTAGTTTCAAAAACACGCATGAGCCTGCCCTAGAAGTAAGCTAATCATACCAGCCAGAAAAAGGTGGTGCTAATGGGCGGAGACAACACACTAAAACCCCACGCCAGGCCCGGTACCTGGTGGGTGCTCAGTGTAATCATGGCAGCTGATGCCATGGAGATCACTGTGCACCAGGCATGAGCACAGACCAGTCTGCACATAAATCCACTAAGAAGGTACAATCATTGTCCCTATTTTGCAGATGAGGAAACTGAGGAACGGAGATGTTTAGGAATGTAGGTGGCAGTGCTGGGGTCCAGTCTTCTCCAGAGCATGTTCTCGGAACTGCAACACTTAGTCTCAGCCTCCCAACATTCTCTGGCCAGACTCAGCTCTCCCTCCTGCCTGCGTCATATCTCAGCAGGACCCTGAGACTTTGTTTTCAGTCTGGCCTCTTCCATTTGGCTGTCACTCTCAGACTTGCTTGACAAAGATATTCTGATCCAGATGGTTATTTTATGAAGTGGATGAGCTAGCGTGGCTGTACCACTAGCTGGAGGCAGGAGTTGGGTGGTCCTCGGGTGGCCCCCACCTCTTCCCACCTAGAACTTGTCAAGTCCAGGGAGGCAGCACTCATTTCCTGTGGACAGCCAGCATCCTGAGCCACTTGCCCCTCCTGATCTGAGCAGTGAGCACATGAGTCTCTGAGAGGCCTGTGTTTTTCATGCTCTTTGGGTTTTGCTTCCAGGCTTTGGAAAGCGACTTCGTCAGTGCCAACCTCCACCACTGGATAGACCTCATTTTTGGGTACAAGCAGCAGGGGGCAGCTGCAGTGGAGGCGGTTAATACCTTCCACCCCTACTTCTACGGCGACAAAGTGGACCTCAGCAGCATCGGTGACCCCCTGATCAGGAACACCATCTTGGGGTTTGTCAGCAACTTTGGACAGGTGCCCAAACAGGTACAGCATGTCATGTTCTCTGTTTTCCTTTAACAAATAAGTGTGCACAGCATAAGCTTGGGGGGGGGGGCATTTTTTACTGCTATAGGAGCAATGAGAGGACTGAAAAAGCAGAATGGTCTCTGACCATCTTCCTGTGCTTTCAATGTCAAGGCTAACCCTCAGCTATCATCTGATATTGATGAAGGTGATGGCATTATTAATGATAATGATGAAGGCTACATTCATCTCTGATGCATTTGATGACACTATGATAAATTCTCAAAATTTAATTCTTTCTATGTATCTACCCTCTAGAGTTGTTGTGAAGATCCAAGAGTTACGATGTCAAGTGCTCAAAAGTGCCTGAAATATGATTCGCACTCAACAAATGTTAGTTATTAGTGTGGTTGCCTCATTGAATTCTCTCATAAGCTCTGTGTAAAGGAATTAATTCTTTCACAGATGAGGAGACTGAGGCTCAAAGAGGCTAAATAAATAATTTGCCTGCAGTTGCACCATTAGCAGGTGACAGGTAGAGCTCTAGCCTCACCTGGGTGGCTCCAGGATCCGTGTCACATTGCCCACCCTGTGAGAGCAGCTCTGTTCTGCCCCAGCCCTGGTGAAATGGCAGGGGTCTCACATGGGCCTTGTGCTCCGCTGGCTCCACCCCTCTCAGGACAGTCATGCAGCAATGTGGGCTGTGCATTCGTGTTGACACCTGATGAATGGTGTGCAGGAGAGTTAGATATTATTTACTTGATCCTAGCTCTGTGGCCCCTCCAGCTTTAGTTCAGGGTAGAGAAACCTGATCCCTGAGCACAGCCACCTGGGTTTAGAAACATGGTCCCATAGTGGGGGTCCCACAGCTGGGGTCCCGCCTGGGCAGTCAGGAGTCACACTTAGGAATGAATGCTTAAGGCCTTCCTCATGTGAGATTGCACGGGCTCATCTCAGTTCATACAAAACAAATAGTATTTTCTCTGCCTGGTAGTAGGGAATATATTTGTGTTTGCTCAGCTTTGGAAAGGGGCGTATGGAAGGGCCTGAGGGGGCTTGGAGGACGGGTGCCCACCCCCCTGTGGGTGTTCTCAGGGGAGGATTGTTAGAAAGGAGAGGGTTTCAGGAGAGAAGCTTGGGTAGCCTAGTGACTTTATTTCTTTCATTTTAAAAATAGAATACAGATAAAGCAATTAAATAATCAAAATAGCAGTCACCACCATCTAACGGTGTTCTTGTTCAAAAGGAAACATGTTTTTACATCAAGTGATCATGAAGTACGCACAATTTCAGATTCTGATTTTACTTAATGATATATCATATGAGCTTTAAAAAATATTTCTGAATAATTACCGGAATTAGAATTCTCCGTGCGGTCCCAGCCCGAGACTGTGCTGTGCCATCGGGGCTGCGCCTGCCGACGCCCTCACAGGGACCTGCGCTTTAGTGGTTCTGCCCGCAGGAAAGTGTTCTTTACGGGGTGCTCTTGGACAACCACCGTTCTGGTTTCGGTTTCTGTCGCTCACCCGCCCAGCCTTTCTAGACAGGTCAGCCTCTGGTGGAGGGCGACGGCGGAACCAAGGCTGTTCTGAGGCCCCCGGCTGCCCACTGAGCCCTGCTGAGGCCAGCCCCGCCTCAGCCCCCGCCTCAGCCCCGCATCCTGGCACCAGCGGGAACTCGCTCGTGGAGGGAGGGGAGGGCTGGACGTGGCCTCGGCTGGGCTCCCTCGCCCCTCAGCAAGGATTCTGCCAGGCAGCTCCACCTCACACTTTCTGCTTTGCCTGCTTATGGAAAAAGTTTGGCATTGGGGACAATTTGACAATAGAGATCTAAGAAAAGTAAAAATAAGAAGGGCCACCTACGGGGTTTCCTGTGCTCCCTGAAGTACATGGACAGACAGACGCTGAGAGTTCTGTTGGTGCCAGGTGGGTGTGTCTGCACGGAGTGTGTAGGGGCAGGGGAAACACCAGGAATGGCCCAAGCAGATGGAGAGAGACGCGATCTTAAATGGGCCAGCTCCCTGGGGACCAGGGCCTCCTCAGTGAGGTCTCCCTTTTCCCAGGCAGCCAGGGAACTTCTGCCAGCCGGTCCTGGCTGTGCCCTCGAGAGGGAAGCTGCTGCTCTCCGAGACCCAGCCCTTGTCTGTGACACCCAGGGTTTAGCCACATGGCCCTGCTTATGCGGGTTATGCTCTTGCTGAGCACAGGAACAGTTGCAGCCCAGGTGCCGAGGAGCAGAGGCGCAGCTGCAACTTGCACATGGACAGCTGCTCCTCTGGCCCTCAGCCCTGACGCTCTTTGCTCTGTGTGTCGTCCCTTGTCTCTCCAGCTCTTTACTAAACCCCACCCGGCCAGGACCGCTGCAGGGAAGCCTTCGCCTGGAAAGGATGGCTCCACACCTTCAAGCCTGCCGGGCCACCCACAGCCCTTCACCTGCAGCCTGCAGTCACTGAGGCCCTCCCAGGTCACAGTCAAAGGTGAGTACCTGGCACTGCTTGGCTTGGCTCTGTGATCCAGAGCTGTCCCTTTAGTGACTGGTGTTCCTCTGGGGCTTCAGGGGCACAGATGTCAGTAGGGGCTTGGGGTCTGGCTGTGTCTCAAGTCGCAGCAGGAATCTGAGGCGGCCTCTGCTCCAAGAGTGTCAGGACCAGCTCCTGCAGACCCTGACTTCACACACACACACACACACACACACACACACACACACACACACACACACACACCCCTCTGTCTGTCTGTCTCTTTGTCTGTCTCTCTCTCTCTCTCCTTGCCTTCAGAGCTGAATGGAGAAGTCCCAGGTTTCCTGGGGGAGGCTGTAGCTTCCCATCCCTGGTACTTGCAGTCACTTGATCCTGGCACCACGTGGGCTTGCAGCCAGTTAACAAAAGCATGTGTCCTAGGGCAGGTGTCCTGGGGCAGGTGTCCTGGGGCAGATGGCCTGGGAAGAGTTCCAGCCCTGTCACTTCCTGGGGAAGCTGTGTGTGAAGTTTGATGTCTATGTCACCCTGGGGTGGGCACTGACCTGGGGAAATCCCACTGCAGGGACGTTCTGGTCCCAAGAAGTGTAAGGTCATGTTTGCTGTTGTTTTTCCCTTTGACGCCTAAAATCAGTGTCCTTGGCAAACCCAGCCCTGCTAGATATGGTGCGTCGGGGGCAGGAGGGACAGAGCCCCCAAGGCTCCTATGGTTCTGTGCCAACTGCCCAACAGCCTTGGCCCCTCCCCCCGTGCCTCATCCCTAAGGGACACTGAAGACCTGCATGGCCACTGAATATATTTGCTAAGTCAGAGGTGGAACTGAGGGCCAGGGGACAGCCGCGGGCCATGGGACTGGCTCGGGGCCAGGGGACAGCCTCAGACTATGGGACTGGCTTGGGGCGAGGGGACAGCCTCGAGCCAGGATCTAGAGTGGCCTCTGGAGTGAGGCCTGGAAACGAGATGCCTCGGCCAGTGGTTGCTGCCGAGCACGTGCTTTGCTGAGTCTCTGCCCTCCACTCATTCCAGGGCCCAGCTAAAGGGGTGCTGTCCTTTGACATGTGAGCTCCACCATACTAACTGGAGGGCAGATATGTACCTTTTCTCTCTAGGCTCAGAGTCCCCCAAAGGCGCCATCGGCCACATCGTCCCCACCGAGAAGACCATCCTGGCCGTGGAGAGGAACAAGGTGCTGCTGCCGCCCGCCTGGAACAGGACCTTCAGCTGGGGCTTCGATGACTTCAGCTGCTGCCTGGGGAGCTACGGCTCCGACAAGGTGAGGGCCGGGGCAGGGCGACTGCAGGCGGGTGAGGGGACCACGGAGCAGGGCGACTGCAGGCGGGTGAGGGGACCAGGGAGCAGGGCGACTGCAGGC